ACGCATGTAAGTCATTTATCAAAAGATTTTTAGGTTATGTATGGTTTGATTTTTAGAATTTTTTTAAAAAAATTAAAAATTAATTTGGTTAAGAAATAAAAAATAAAAAATAATTATAATTTTTATTTTTCAAGTGGTTAGAAATAATTTTTTACAAATTAAATTGAAACAATCATACGTATGTATATAACCTGCCCAAAAGTTAAAATGATAATTATTTTTTACCCTTAAATAATAATTAATTTTTATTTCTTATTTCTTAACCAAATTAATTTTTAATTTAAAAAAAATTCTAAAAATCAAACCATACATAGCCTGAAAATCTTTTGATAAGTCATTTCTTACGTTAGTAACTTATTTAATTATTTGTTAATGTTATGACATTTTTACCATCTGAGATATGTTTAGTAACCATTTCGTTTTCAGTTTTCAATTTTCAATTATATCTCTCTCTGTATATCTATATATTTTGCACACACACCTATAATGTCTTGATTGGGGAAAGTCGTTGGGTGATGATCAGAGGGTGAAAGTGTCGGAGTCTGGGCCCAGTATTTGATATTTTCGGAGATTTCACTGTGAGTGAAATTTGTGGTTGAACATAACTCTTTACATTTACGATAAATTATAACCGCAATGTCTAATCACCTTTCGTTAGAATTGTTTGAATATGTGCAGTTTGGTTGATCACCGTTCGTTAAAATTGTTGGAATTTGTGCTTGTTGGTTGATTCATCAATCATTCAAAAGGTCATTCCCCCCGTCTGGGGGGATGTCAAATAATGTCACGATTGACAAGAATAATAATTATGATTGATAAGTATAGAAAAATGTTTAGGGCCCTAATTCTGTGGCTCAAATGTGATTTAAATGGTCAAAACGATGTCGTTTTGGCCATTTTAATGTTATTTTGTACTCAAAACGACGTCGTTTTGGCCATTTGAGCCACATTTGAGCCACAGAATTTAGGCCCTCTACCATTGCTCATAAGTATAATATCGATTACAACAATGATTCATCCCCTTTTTCTCCCATCCTCTTTGACCCCCTCTCTCTCTCATTAGTTACATTTTCTTTTTCTTTTTCTTTTTTTTCCTACTCCTCCAATCACCACCTGCCACGTGACAAAGGGGTGAGGGGGTGACCCCCAAAAGGGGGTCTCAAGCATTATTCTATCGATTATTTAAGAGATTGTTTGGATAGTCGTTCTTTTTTTTTTTTGGTCTTCCAGGGTATCGTCCGTCGACCGCGGAGATTAATCCCTTCGTTGATTGTAGGTACCTCGAAGGGTGGAACAGTTGACCTAGAGATTTAAGGCTGCTCCATACCCAAGGCGGGAATCGAACCCCCGACACTTGGTTAAGGGAGGAAGAGTCCTTATCACTCCACCACACCCCCTGGGTTGTTTGGATAGTCGTTCGATCAAGTCATTTGGGTGGAATCGGACTCCTCTATTTAATAGTTCAAGTATTTCTCAAATTATAAATACACTCCGTTTGGATCCGGAGGCGAGAAAAACAAAAATGAAAGACTTTTTTCTAGTTCAAATTAGATTGAAAGGTATTGTTAAGTCTTCGTGGGTCCATCACGGAATCTGCATTGATGATTTGAACTGTTAATGTATAGAACTCGTTTAGTACTTTATTCCTATAAAATTAGATTTACATCAAATTAAATCACATTTATATAAACAATTTATTTTAAAAATTATACTTAAGTGATTAGATCATTTATATAAACAATTTATTTTAACACTTAATCGGATCACATTTATAAAATCAATTTATTTTAAAAATCATACTTTAGTAATTAGATCAAATTTATATAAAACAATTTATTTTAACACTTGATCAAATCACATGTATATAAACAATTTATTTCAAAAATCATACTTAAGTAGCTATCGATATCTGATCAATATAATTTTTTACAAGGATAAAATAATTAACGAGCCTTATATATTGAACAATTCATATTATTGATACAGTGTAATGCCCTCAAAATAAACCCATAATATCATACATTCAAAGTACAGAAAAGAGATATTATATTACAATCATCTGAACATTCTTACAAAATGTATTACACGTTAATAATAAAAGTAAATGCCCTATGGACTTACAACTTTCTAAGTCAACACTTGGGTTACAAAAGAAGAGTACTAACTCAGATTACAAATTAAGCCCTTGGCTTGATATACATGTAATACAACAAAATTAACAAACAAGAATCTTCAACCCTCTCAACCTTCCAAGCTAAGGTCTCGGAGACGGCATAACACTTGAACATGAAAATTGTACGGGGAGGAAATAATTCTCCTCGTGTAATCCTGTTGACCAAGTCCACGCTCCTCCGTACTACAAATTAAGCCCTTGGCTTGATATACATGTAATACAACAAAATTAACAAACAAGAATCTTCAACCCTCTCAACCTTCCAAGCTAAGGTCTCGGAGACGGCATAACACTTGAACCTGAAAATGATATCCCATATAGGATGAGCCAATGCCCAGTAGAGATATGCTAAACAAAGTATGAACGATAACTAAAATGTCAGCAATAGATAAATGTTTAACTCGTACACAACAGCTTATAACACTATTCAATCCCATGACTAATATATCCATGTTCTATCATTTTGAATGAGATCACATCTCTTGGCTACTGTATTCCTATTTCAGAAGAGATAATAACTCATTTTAACATTTCATACTTCATAATAGATACACATTTTGGTGTTGTATCACAGTCAGACAAGACATTCCCTTGCTTCTCAAATGATATTCATTTTAGTGCTATATCAAATCAAACAAAACATTTCCATACTTTCTAAATGATATATATTTTAGTGCTATATCAAATAAACATAGAAACACTTCTATAATTCACACCTGATACACATTGTAATGATGTATCAATGTCAAACAATTTCTAGTTTAGAGGTCCATCCCCCATCTTCCAATAAACCGTGGAGTACATCCTCCATCTCCTCCCACACAAAGCAATGTATATAAGCAGTTATCATATACAAGTTCAATCAATCAATACAAATGATACACATTTTAGTGTATCAATGTCAAGCAAAACACTTATAGACTTCACAAATGATACACATTGTAGTGCTATATCAATGTCAAACAACTTCCGGTTTAGAGGTCCATCCCCCATCTTCCAATAAACCGTGTAGTACATCCCCCATCTCCTTCCACACAAAGCAATGTATATAAACAATTATCATATAAAATTTCAATCAATACATAAAATTAATGTATTCTTTCAACCGCCATATTCGATGACACACCTAATCGATTAGTTTTAGTTTGCCTAATCATCATGCATTGTCTACAACAATCAAAACTACCCTCCATCGGTAGCCTAAGGCAATTATTTCCAAACGGATAATAAAAGCACCAACAAATAAATTATCCGCATTTTCAAAAGTGAATGATTTATTAATCTGACTTCACTATTCCGTCTCATAATAAACCACTAGCATTATATTCAACTCAATTTCACAAATCCATAACTTTCCCAAATTAATTATACCAATTAATTTTTACACAATTTATGACTTTCTCCCTCTTTTCTCAATCTTGACCCCCAAGGGTCCAAATATTACCAAAAACATCAACATACTCATTTTGAAACCCAAATACACAATTATGGTCCAAAGGAAACAAAACCCCTATTTTCAAAATCACACATTTGAAACCCTAACTTCCAATATCCAAAACCATTTATACAAAAACTTACAATCTAGGTCAAAGCCCATAAAGATGAGTAGGAATCCCTACCTCAAAGATAAAACTCAATGAAGAAGACGAAGGAAACGAAGATGCTCCAAATCTCGAAATTCTTGGATCAAAATATAGCCCTCAACGATCAACACACTTTTTACAAATGCCGAAGGATAGGGAGACACTCTAACTAGATCAAACCCCAGAGAGAAGGGAGATCCTAGAGAGAGAGGCTCTTAAAATCGATTTTGGGAAAGTAAGAGAGAGAAAGGAAATATAAAAGTGATTTAAAGGTACCCAGCGGATGACTCATATACGTATGACCCGCTTGAACGGAGAATAGAACGCTCGAG